CCATGCTGAGGCCACGTCCCACATACAACAACTAGCAGGATGTGCAACTATAACATACAACTATCTACTGGGGCTTTGGGGAGAAAAAGGGAAAAAAAAAAAGGAGGAGGATTGGCAACAGATGTTAGCTCAGGGCTGGTCTTCCTCAGCAAAAAGAGGGGGATTGGCATGGATGTTAGCTCAGGGCTGATCTTCCTCACGAAAAAAAAAAAGATTCCGTGCTCACAGCCATGGTTCATTTCCTGGTCAGGGAACCACACCACCCATCTGGTCGTCATACTGTGGTGGTTGCATGTTCCTGTGATGCTGAAAGCTATGCCACCACTATTTCAAATACCAGCAGGTCACCCATGGTGAACAGGTTTCAGCAGGGCTCCCAGACCAAGACAGACTAGGAACAAGGAGCTGGTCCCCTACTTCCAAAAAATTGGCCATGAAAACCCTATGAACACCAGGGGAGCACAGGGTTCCCCTCTGCTGTCCATAGGGTCGCTAGGAGGCGGGATCCACTCGACAGCACTAACAACAACGCTTCCCTCATCTCCCTAAGGAGCCCAGAGGCCTTTAAATTTCCCTAATGTAGGGGAGGAAAGACTGTTTTCTCTCTACCCATCTTAGGCTCATTGACTGAGGCCCCGTAAATTAGACTGATAAAAGACAAATTAACAAGAGAGAAACAAACAGAAATTTGTTAACGTGTGCATCGCACATACACAAGGGAGTACTCGATGATGAGTAACTCAAAGAGGTGGTAAGAATTTGGGCTTATACAGCATCTTAACAATAAATTTTTAGAAAAATGACAAGACAAAGGAAGAGGACTTTGAGTTTCTCAGGCAGCAATTTGTGGGAAGGTAAAATATATGAGGGCCGGCCCTGTGGCTTAGCGGTTAAGTGCGTGCGCTCCGATGCAGGCGGCCCAGGTTCGGATCCCGGGCGCGCACAGACGCACTGCTTCTCCGGCCATGCTGAGGCCGCGTCCCACATGCAGCAACTAGGAGAATGTGCAACTATGACATACAACTATCTACTGGAGCTTTGGGGGAAAAATAAATAAATAAATAAAATTAAAAAAATAAATAAAATAAAATAAAATATATGAGGAACTACGGACAATGGTGGTTATTTCAGTAAAGTTTATTATGTAGATCCCTCTGGTGCCATCTCTGAGCTGATAAGGGTCTAGAGTTGTCTCCAGTGATTAACCACTGATCTTCGCGGTAAAGCAGGGAGTGGGGACACCTTTACAAATGTATGTCCTGCTTTTAGGTATATACGGAAAGGGCAGAGAGCTTTTCTTGTGTCTACTTCTTCTCAATTGCCTTCAGCTCAAAATAATCCTTATGCCAAAGCGGCATATTTCAGGGTAGCATATTCTGCTCCCTTTCATTAACATTCTATGAGTTGGCTCCCCAGCTCCCTATCCTAGGTCATCCCTGCAGTAACTTAATTTCCATTTTGTTGAACTTCCTTGAGAAATCTGAGCAAGTGCCCACACTAGCTGCTTTGATCCTATAGGATTGTTCTCAGACTCTGGACGATGGTGCCATCCTCTGTGCCCACACCCTGTACGTGTTGGCCAGGGGACCTTCCCATAGATCAGAGGTGGCCAGACCAGGATGATTAGGCCATGTCAGAAAACACACGTGGACATGCTGATGGGGTGGGATGGCATAGAGGGCTCTTGTGACCCCAGTCCTAACCAATGGCATTGCTTTGTGAATTAGGAGAGCTAAGAACACGGCTGCTGTCGGGGCTGCTGCTGCTTGCTGAGTGTTGGAAAAAAATGATAATGCCTCTATCCCTGTCCTCTGTTGCTGAGAATTCAGAACTAATTATAAATATGCTCAGTGGTAGTCCATCCAAAACTTTAATATTTTTTCTCTTCTCTGCTCTCTCCAAATCTGGGGAGTAGGGGTAGAGGGTATCAGAGCTAAATGACTGGAAGGAGCCAGGAGGAAACTTCTGAAAAGCCGATTTTCCGGTTTGGCTGGTGAGCCCGGCCACTTCCCTCTCCCCAGACATGACTGACCACAGGTGAGAAACGGCCCGCCCACTCTGCAGTTCACTGAAGGGAACCAACTGGTTTGATCAGGGAAGACAGTCAAATGGACACTCTGCAGTGGTTTGTAAATCCGTTTGGATTGGTCGAGTACATGGAAGTCATGATGATACTTACAGAACATGACAGAATTTAACACATTAGGATTAAAACAACCACGTGAATAATGCTTTTTATAACTAGGCACCAACAAAGGTGTTTTGTTTTTTTCTAACCTATGGGAGAAAAAACTTCTAATTTCTTTCTTTCTTTTCTTTTCTTTTTTTTTTTTTTGGCGAGGAAGATTAGTCCTGAGCTAACATCTGTTGCCAATCCTCCTCTTTTTGCTGAGGAAGACTGGCCCTGGGCTAACATCCATGCCCATCTTCCTCTACGTTGTATGGGACACCACCACAGCATGGCTTGACAAGTGGTGCGTTGGTCTGCACCCGGGATCCGAACCTATGAACCCCGGGCCGCCGAGGCG